GAGGGGGTGCATTTTGAGATCCTGCTTTATTTAAATACTAGAGTGGGCTGTATGTTTTATTGAAGGTGTCTTCTTGTCTTGCATTTTGAAGTTAGTTTATACTGAAAGATTACACTTAAGATTTATAATTTCCCTACACAGACAAAGTGAGATGGAGCAGCCACTGTTAACACGAAGCATGGTTCAGGAAAGGCTAGAATCGCAGTATTCTAAATACCAACATGTGGTCATCCGGATCCAGTTTCCAGACAAAGTAGTGCTCCAGGGATTATTCCGACCAAAAGAGACTGGTGTGTGAGAGAGCTCCGATTTGTTTTCATTTTAATTTGAATTCTTGTTTTCTAATTCAGGAAATAATTTTTGACAATTTGAAATGCATAATTAATTTATGTTGTATAGCCATCACTGATTATTTGATTTTTCAGTTCATGCATTGCATAAATTTGTGAAAGAATATCTGGAGGACAAAAGCCAAGGATTCTATCTTTGTAAGTACAAAATACAGTTCAGTGCTATCACCATGCATATGTCATAGAAGAGGATACACTGATCATATTGAATTACATTAACTAACAGTATGCTGTACATGTATTATGATCAATTTTCTGCATTATTTTTCAGACACTGCACCTCCAAAACAGGTGTTGAAGGATCAAACACTGAATTTGATTCAGGTATTGTATGCATTTTATAAGCTCAGAAAGTAATTTTTCAATCTTAGTGCTAATATGGGCATACATGTACATGCAACAGTTAAACGTAATGAAGAACTAAGTCGAAAAAAAAGTTTGTACATCAATTGTAATGCAGTAATAAGTCAGAGAAATGTTTGAAGATGAAGTTTATGTGGATGTATTTTACAGGCAAAACTAGCACCGGCCTCTGTTGTGTATTTTGGATCAGAGACAACAAAAGGTTTGTCACTTTCAAAACATATATACACCTGTACATGTATGTAAATTATTTTAAAGTTTCCATCCAGGTTTGAATGTTTTTGATTCTGCGCAGCAGTAAATACTATATGCATTACCAGTAGGGAACGTTCCTTTATTATGCATCTTGTTTGAGTTTTCACACTGGTGATGTGTAATTTTTATATGTACATGATTTCTGTTTTACTTTCAGATCATTATCTTTCGGAGGCTGTAATGAAGGAAATCAGTCCAAAGAGCAAAGCAGAGGATATTGTGGAAAAAAGGCAGGTTTTTGTCAGGAAATATTTTGAAAAAAAAATATTATGGTCACCTCTGCTTGTCAGAAAATCTCAAAAACTTCTGCTGTTGGTTTTAAAAGCAAATAGATCGTGTACAGGAAGACGTGCAGATATACAGTAGATGTATCTTATTTATACCCCCCGCAAACGAAGTTTAGGGGGGGTATATTGGAATCAGCATGTCCGTCTGTCTGTCCGTCTGTCTGTCCGTCTGTCCGTCTGTCTGTAGACGAGATTTTGTCCTGACCATTTCTTGGAAACTGTTGGAAGGATTTGTCTGAAAATTTGTACACTTATTATTCGCCATATGAAGGTGTGCACCTGGTATTTTCATTATGATTGGATAATTTTTCTGCATTTTACAGGTGTTTTTTCATTTTTATTATTTGGTTTTGTCTGGATCTGTTCCCAGAAACTATTGCGTAGATTTGTATGAAAATTTGTAAACTTATTATTTACCATATGAAGATGTGCACCTGGTATTTTCAACATTATTTGATAATTTTTCTGCATTTTACAGGTGTTTTTTAAAAATTTTTATTGACTTAGTCATTTCGGGTTCATGTCTAAGGTTTGAGACATAGAATCTAGAACACCTGTACAAAAATGTGAACTACAGCTTAAAACTACTCATTAGAACTAAAAAAAAACCCACAAAGTATTAAAAACAGTTTTTACATTACACAGCAGATAGTGTAAATCCATTTGTCCCTTGGGAGTAATGAGTGGACATGCATCCAGTTAAAGATTAATTAATGAGTTCAGTGTGGGAAGCTGTTAGGGCATCTCTGATCAGGCAGGTCTTATCTATATCTCCGGGGAATTGGGCAGAAAGAAAGAAAGATCTCTGTTGTCTAAGTCTCTTAATTGTTATTTATGTCTGTCAAAATACATAGTTACTAAAACCAGCCTTTTATTTTTAAAATGAGTTTGATATAAAGGTATTAAAATCGATTTGATTTTGTATAATTAATTATGATATTTTTTTTTTTTTCAACAATCAATTTGCAGAGTGTCATGTCTCACAAAGATGACAGATAGTTGCAAACTATTTTTTCAATGTAATAAAAAACACTGTAATTATTAGTGTTGATATTTTATTAGGCTGCACCTTAGTTTCATTCATTAAAATAAAGTGCCCCACCACAGCATTATACGCCCATCAAATATTGTTAAATTATCATAAACAGTTTAGATTCAATTGGTCGAATGACATCTTAGTGAGACAAGGCAGTCTGCAATTTGTTGTAAAGATATAAAAATTCAAATAAAAAATGTACAATAAATAATTAGTTTAAATTATATTATACAATATCATATAAGTTTTAATTATTATAAACAATATCAAATTAGTTTTAATTACATCAAATTTATCTTGAAAGTAAGACTAGCCAACAAGAACAATTCAATACAACACAAGCAATTAATTAAGAGACTGATTCCTTTTGCCCATTTCCCAAGAGATGTAGATAACACCTGCTTGATCAGAGATGCTCTACCAGTTATCACCTCACACTAAACTCATTAATTTATCTCTAATTTGACATCCAATTTTCTGCTATCAAAATTTTCCTTGACCAGTGCCTGATCATTACACCCATGGGAGAGGTGGAATTTTTCTTGTTACAGATTGCTGTAAAGAACATAATGAAAAAAATAAGACTAAATAATAAGCCGGACATGAAAAAGCTAACAGAGGGACATGAACGCTATAACATAATACGTCCCGTCTTAAGACGGACATATAAAAAATATAATGAGTAATTAAATTTTCACTGGAAATGTTTAAGGAAATTGTGAACACCTCTCACATCTAGAAAACATTAGTGATTTGGTACTTTCTCTGAAAAACCCAGCGGGGGGTATTTGTCCCTATTGGACAGTTCTAGTTTGCTTGTGTAAAATTGTAAAGTTTTCTTTATTTCTTATTTTACAGCTTGCCTAAGGATGAGACTCCAAATTCCTCAAGAAAAGATCAACAACCTGGCACATCTAGACCAAAACCAAGCAAAGCAGATTCTGAACCATCAACCGGCTCGAAAAAACCAGCAGTCCCAAAGTGGTTTACTGCAGGTAATGTCAAGAGCAATTCCAGAAATCTTCTGTGTTTACTTGACTTTCCATTGTTAGTGTGAGACTCTAGAAGTCCTTACAGGTGAAACTGGGGATCTAGAGGTTAAGGTATCAACCTTTATCAACTGAAAAATTTAAAATAATCTGTTTCCAAAACATTTTATTTAAATTGAACTTTGACACCATTGTTGCAGATAATCTTCAAGTTTCAGAGGATTCCATTCATTATTCATGTAAATACATGCACATGTATCAAAGTTAATTAACTTCCAAGTTGATAAAAATTTCTGTTTTCCAAATGAATTTGAAAACTACAAATCGATCAAGAGTTGGGAAATTACTTTGCAAAGCAGAAAACTGATCTTGTTCTGAGTTTCGTAGGATTGTGACCCTTGTTTTAGGGAATTACAGTCTTTTACCAATTAAAATTGAAAAACCCTTAAGAAAAAGCTTTTCATTATTGAAAATTTCATGAAATATGAAATGAACTTAGACTTCCCAAAACAGGCAAATTTCATGAAGCATGTTAGTGCTTTAAAGCCATTCTGAGAAGTCTCGAGTTCATTTCTTTCATGAATTTTTCAAAAATGAAAGACATTTCTTCTATTTGCCTGTACATATAACTTTCAAATACACATAAATTGAAAAAACGTCCCCTGGTTTCTTGAAAACATGGGAACATTAAATCTCATTCCTCTGTGTCTGTCTCAAAAACTTTATAAAAAAAACCCATAGCTTTGACTTTTGTATTTCACATGTGCATTACCTGTGACAAAGCCTTTCAGAATTTACCACGGTTTTTGACCTCATAATTTTGAAGTAGTTTGATAATTATGTTGTTAGCATAAATTACTGAACTCATAGATTTATGTCATAATGATAAATGTACACCTTGTAAGAGTTTGCTGGGGCCAGTGCTTCAGCATTACTCTCAGAATGCTTGTTGATGCTTCTCATTCTTGTTTTGCAGGGAAAAAGTGATATGTTCAAAGATATGGAAAAAATTGTGCAAAACGCTACATTCTTCAACACTGGGACTTGGTTCTACCTGTTAGCCTCAATCTGACAATACATGACATTGACATCAATCAGTCTTCATTCAACAGCTTATCAATGAAATAAATATGTTTAAATCACTACAAAAGTATTCTTTATAATCAGTCCAAGGATGAGGAAATGTTCCATTTCTATAAAGTGTAATTACTACCTATAGTAAAACTCGGTTATAGCGAAGTTCTGGGGACCTGCGAATTTACTTTGTTATATCCATTATTCATTATATCCGTATAACGAATTAATTATTGTATACATAGCTAATTCGCAATATAGACTTTTTTATTCAAGAATGACTACAAAAAGTATTAAAAATTTACCTTGGATTTCAAAAGTTTTCGGATGAATTGCATTTCAAGTATAAATACTTATAAAATTATTGTCAGTTCAATATTTTAAAAATTAAGAACTTTGAAATTTTGCTATAAAAGCTGTTAATTTCGTTATTTTCAACTTCTAGTTTTCAACAAAATCAGTTTGCTATAACCGTAAATTCGCTATATCCAAGTTCATTATATCCATAAAAATTTAATACGGAATTGTTAAGAATTTCGCCGGGGATTGCAAATTAAAAAGCTATGTCCGTAAATTTGCTATATCTGTGTTCGTAATAAACAAGTTTTACAGTAATACACTTTAGAGCAACATCAACAAAAAAACATTTACAACTAATAAATAATTTATTTCCAACAAAATGCATAATCTCTAACAATACATAATTATATGAAACTGATAACAATATAAGAATTATTGTACAACGATGATGAACAATGAGCCATGGTTTACAGTGGTTCCTGCTACCACAGTCGAGAACAATCCAGGAATATGTATGAAAGTCCGATACATAATGAGAATAAGCACATTACCCCTTAGTTACCTTTAATATAAAATGTGATTAAGAATGTGAAGAAAAAGACGATTCAGCATCACTCCAGGGTATAAGCAGTAAATCATTCAGTTGACAATATCATTTTAACACAGTTGTACAATTCATGCATTCACAAGAGGCAGCAACTTTAGATCTCTTCTTGAGTGGCGTGATGTAACTAATAAATAAAGGTGACATTTATAGTCTGTTCAGCTCCAGTTGGCAGCCATATTGAAAGCACCAGAAGGGGGTTCATGAGTTGTATCAGCGGTACAGGGGAGACAATCGCCGAGGACTGTTACGGGCGAGTTTATCATTCTGAAAAATTATATACAAACACATTCAAAATTCTAACACTCTCCATACTCCAACAGTTGTTCAACAAGCCAGAATAAATTTTACCATCTTTCAATTCAGCAAAGGCCTCTGTGTATAAATAAACTTTTGAGTCACAAAAAGAAAATTAAGAACAAATGTAAATTAAGTTTAAAAAGAAGGATAAATTATGCTAATCTAATTTTTGGCACGATAATACACCAAAAGTAAAGGTTATAGTGCATCAGGTATCACACTAGTGCATCAGGTATCACACTAGTGCATCAGATATCACACTAGTGCATCAGGTATCACAAACTAATGTGAGGGCAATGCAGATAACAACAACAGTACAGTGTTAGGACAATACATAATATCTAATTGGTGGTTATCAAGGGTGATAAATCTGGAAAGGAACTTGGTGGGATTTTATTAAGGTAAATAACTCTGGGCAGGAACTCAGTGGGATTTGTTAAGGTAGATAACTCTGGGAAGGAACTCGGTGGATTTCTCTGTACCTGGCAGGCACATCGACAAGGAGGAGGGGCACTTAAGTAGGTGTGTTTCCTCGATTGTCGCACCTCTCTTGGAGACTCCTGATTATTTATTAAGACATGTTAACCACAGAATAGACAGAAACTTAAATGTCCTAATTACAGAGAAAACATTATTAATCTAGTGAGAGTTTCTGGAATATAGTAAGATTTCACATTGTGGGATCTGAAAAAGGCAAGAGCATGATAAGGGAGGTAACTTTACATTTACTCAATACGTTTAAGTCATGTTAGTCTTTTTGATTGGGGTTTAAACCTAAGTAACTGGGTTCACATGATAGTCATTAGAACTTACATAGACTGGGTAATCATGTAGAACCATGCCCGCTGAACGTCCAAACCCGTGTTCCGCTTCATTTAACTTTAACAACATATCTGCTCTCTCTTTACCCCAACTTCTAGAATTCTCTAAAAGCTGTAACAATAGAAATTATAGGAAATCTCAAAATATTTTGATGCCTTTTCACTTTCAATCATTTTTTATCTTAACAATGCCTTCCATAATGTTTCATTCTGATAATGTTTTGAATTAATAAACATTTTTAATGTTTCACATATTAGAATGAATATTTTGAATGTTTGTCATATGAAAATAAATATTTTGCACATTTGTCATGTGCAAATCAAAATTTTCAATTTTTAGCAAATATAACATGAAAGAAGATTATACCTGGGTTTCCAGAGACTGTATCCTAGCCTCGGCTTTCTCCAGAGCCTGATAGAGTTCCAGTTTATCTGTTTCAGATGTTGATGATCCTTTATTACTTAATCTCAGCTGATCCTGGAATAAATATTTTCCAAATAAACACAGAGATATGGAGAACATTTTTTACTGAGCTGTCCATTTATTTTCTTTTCTCAAAATACTTGTCCACTTATTTTCCTTACCCGTAAGTCATCAGCCTGTTGTCGTAGTCTCTTGTTCTCCTCTAACAAGGCTTCATTGGCTTCTTGGGCAGCATCTGTTGGCAGAGAAGTCAATAATAAGTCAGGATTCAAAATCAGCAAGGATATCTGACACGTGATGTTTACCTTAGCCCAAGGTACAAGACAAAAAATAAATTTGGATCAACTCAACTTGTATTCTTAAAATTTGAAAATCATGAAAATCTTGCAAATATGGAAAGAATTTAAATAGGATGGCAGATTCTTGAAATGCTGCCACCAGTGTCTCCATCTCAACTGTTAGATGACTGATGTATTTCTAACTATCGCTTTTCAAAGGTACATTTATTTGTAGTAAGAAGAGAAACAGGTCAATCCTCCTGTCTACCAGGGTTTCCATTACTAACAACTAAACTTTGATTTTTTTTGGAGTTGCATCCACCTTACTGACAGTGTAAGTAACCTGTTGACTTTTTTACCCTGGTCTCTGTGTTTGACTTATCTGTTGACTTTTTGCCCCAGTCTCTGTGTTGCTTCCCTTACAAACAGTGTGATTGTCGACGTTTTGCCCCGGTCTCTTTGTGACTTACCTGTGACTTTTTGCCCTAGTCTCTTTGTGACTTACCTGTTGACTTTGCTTCAGTCTCCATGTGACTTACCTGTTGACTTTTTGCCCCAGTCCCTTTGTGACTAACCTGTTGACTTTTTGCCCCAGTCTCTTTGTGACTAACCTGTTGACTTTTTGCCCCAGTCTCCATGTGACTTACCTGTGACTTTTTGCCCCAGTCTCTTTGTGACTAACCTGCTGACTTTTTGCCCCAGTCTCTTTGTGACTAACCTGTTGACTTTTTGCCCCAGTCTCCATGTGATTTACCTGTTGACTTTTTGCCCCAGTCCCTTTGTGACTAACCTGTTGACTTTTTGCCCCAGTCTCTTTGTGACTAACCTGTTGACTTTTTGCCCCAGTCTCTGTGTGACTTACCTGTTGACTTTTTGCCCCAGTCTCCATGTGATTTACCTGTTGACTTTTTGCCCCGGTCTCCATGTGATTTACTTGTTGACTTTTTGCCCTGGTCTCTCTGTGACTAATCTGTTGATTTTTTGCCCCGATCTCTGTGTGACTTACCTGTTGACTTTTTGCCCCGGTCTCTGTGTTGCTTTTCTAGAATCTTCTCCATCTTCTCTATGACCTTCTCCTGTTTTTTACACGCCTCCTCCACCGTCCTCATCTTCTTCAGTTTTTCCTGGAGTTTGGTGATCACCTCATTCTGTTGTTTGTAGTTCTGAGCAATCTTTATGTATCTCTTTTCCTGGTCATTTTTCTACAAAAAAATTCTATTGAATTGTCAAAGAATTCTTTTGAATTCATCTCAGAAAAAAAGTGTCTTTTACAGGTAAATTATTTAAAAAAGTTTTCTTTCAGACTTAATCAAATGAAAAAAAAAACTTTTTAAAGCTGTATTTGTATCAATACATGTATACACATGTATCACAGCACCATATTTTCATAGATTTACATTTTAAAAGTACATAAATATGAAAATAGTGCCAGTAATATACCATCACACTTGAGTGAAGATATTGCAAAAAAAGCATGTGTCACCATATTGTACCTTGATGAGTTCGTTTTGTAGTTTCTGAACCTTGTCTTTGTAGGCTTGTATGTCACCAGAGTTTGACTGCAGTGTTTGTTTTAGTGCAGCTGAAAAAAGCAAAACGTGCAGAGTCCCAATTACCCTCTAAATAACTACACTCCTACTTAAGCTTAATAGAGCTTATGTTCACCAGCTCAGCTCAAGTGAGCTTACTTTAATGAGTTCATTCTGTAGTCGCTGAACTCTCTCTTTGTAGCTTTTGAGATCATTACTGCTAATTACTAGAGTTTGTTTCAAGATGGCTGAAAATAGTTTACATGATTAATGGAAGAAAGATTCAAAATAATCAATAAACTTCTTGTTCTCTGATATCACACCTGCATTTAACATTACTGTGGAACTCTTAACTGATTTTCTTACAATTGATGTGGAAATTTCTTTATATTTTTTATCCATGAAAATGCTTCATGTATTGCTTTAATTCCTTTATGTGAAAATTTTTGTATTTTTATAAAATCTCACAACTATCAAGATTTCCTTGCAAAAATTATTTCTCGAAGAATTTTTGACTTCAGAAATGAATTGTCCAGTTTATTTGGTCCTGTTTCAAATTTTCAAATGTATTTCGTAAGATGGCAAACATTGATAATTACCATATCTGGACATGACCTCTGGTTTTGTGAGATTGTCTAGTTCCGCTGATTCAATCATCAGTTTACCAGCATCATTGTAATTAGCCAGATCTCGTCGGAGCTGACTGTTATTTGCCTCCAGCTCTCGGATCTGCTGTCTCAGGGCGAGGATATCTTGACCCATTTTGTGGACAGCAGTCCGATAATTCTCCAGTTCCTTCATCTGGTGGTCCAATACATTCATGGATGTCTGGTCCAGATTTGCCGGTTGGTAACTGTAATGTGAATCCAAATTATCATTTTCAATGAAGGATAACTATATTTACCTTTTAGTTGCCAAATTCAATATGAATTCAAAATAGAAATATGAAGGAGACAAAGCAAGTCAAATTCAAATATTTCTTTTATGATATTTGTACCATAAAATTGAAAGAATTATCAAAAATATATTTATAGCAAAGTTTTGATACTCAACTGCACAGTGAAGCAAGCAAAGAGTGCAAAATATATCATCTGTTCATGTTATTGTCACATGACTTTTATTTATAGCATAAAACTGGTGAACAACTGTAATGGTAAAAAAATGTTCTCATTATTTTTTACAAAGAATGTATCAAAATCCTTGGTCTAAGTGATATTCCACTTCTAATGTGACTTGAGACCATTGTAACTTGTTCATGTTTCTGTGCATTTTACAATAAGGAGGAAGGAGTGAGCAATATTTTCATCCTGGGCCAAACAATAATTTTTCTTTTATATTCTAAAACTTGTAATTTTATGAAACTTAATGCTTTCAATATTGAAGTATTGGCCATTCTCAAATCAGCAATAAATTTCTTAGAGTGAAAAGATAAATAACAGTTGGAGATGCCCGAAATTCGTATTTTTTATGATTTTCAAATTAAAAAAACTTCTAAACAGGTTATAATAAATCAGTCAGAAATGCTCTTGGTATATGTAAGCCATAATATTCTACCGAAAAGTTTGAAAATTATAAATTTCAAATCTGTTTTCATATACTCCTTGAAAGCTAACTCTTCTCTCTCGATCATTCAGTGTTTGTTCTCTCCAAAGTTTCGTATAACTGATATCATAGAATAAAATGCAAAACATATCGCATCTCTAGGAGCTATGTCATACAGCCGCTCGCATTTGAATGATTGTCAAAAAAATAATTTTCATAGAAGAATGAGGATGATAGCGAAATACATCCGTGGAAGTATCCGATACAAGGGCACCGCATGAACAAAATTTGCAAATTCTATATTTCTCTTTTTCCTATGTTTGCTTCACAGTTTTTTTTAATTACAGAGTAATCCAATAAAACACATGGGTGCCCATTTTTCCTTTTTCTTACAGTTTTAACTTTTATTTAAACAAGTTTAAGGACCCTCTATACACCAGTGCAAAATGTTTTTTGGACATTGAGAAGATTATATTGAATAAAGTTGTAAATATTGAGCTTATCAATTTAATTTTCAATATATGGTATGTGGCATTTACTTCCAGGAAAAATGTTCAAAAACAATCAAGTATCAATGAACATAAATCACTACTGTTTACTTCCGTGGAGAAAATACATGCGAATAAAGTGATCTATTAATTTATCTTGGCTATTTAAAATGTTATGAATGCTTGAACTTGTTACAAATTGAGTAATATACTGTAAATTTCAATTTATTGGAATTTAGATCTAAGGGCAGATCACTCTAACTGCAGAAAAATACCACAGAATCAGAACTCTTTGCTGTGCAGTGTAGAGAGGGTTCTTAAATTAAATAAAATTCAAGACGAAATATCTTAAATTTACACATTTTAAAAACAACATTAATGAGTTTAGAGAGGAAATGCAATTTTCAATTGCATTACAGCTGTGTTCAGGAAGATGAGGTTAACATGAAAATAATCATTTACTCATATGTCATAATTACATGTACCTGATGCAAATTTTTCAGCATAGCATTTTTAGGGCCAGGGGAGGGGGGTCAGGGTGGACTGAATCCGTAAATATTTACCTGGTAGAGGGGCCTCCTGGCATCGAAGAGGTAGCCCCTGGCAATTGGGTGGCAGCTGGTGGCCTCTGGGGTGGGCGACCAGATTTGTTGTCTGGGTCCACAAAGATGTACTGGTAATCTGGGAGTATGGACTCCATAGCTTCATAGGGAGGAAGATCCCCATCTTTGATAGGCTGAAAATCAACAACACAGACACGTGAAAAAAGTTCTACTGAAAATAAAATTTTACAATAGTAATTCTCAAAAATTTAAAACTTGCCTGTTTTGGTAAATACCGTATATACACAATAACAAAAATTGATCATTTTAATGTTTGTAAAATAACATTGAACAAATTAAATGATACATGATTAAATTTAATTGATTTTTATGTACATCTAATCATTCATATAAATCAAATCCCTTTTTTACAACCTCATTAAATTATCAACCATGGTTAGAGAAAAATAAACAGAAGAACAACAGTTCTTTAGCATATCAAAGAATTACTTTACATAAATTTGATAATGTCCTCTAACACATTTTTTGTGGCTTTTCGGCTACCAATAATATTTTGTAATTTGATAATGTCTTCTAACACTTTTTCTGTTGATTTTCAGGTACCAATAATATTAATTGAGTAAATTCAATGTCTCTGAACACCCAACATGGTATTTATTAAATGGATTTAAGAAATTTAGATTTAAAAGAATCACCATTTTATCTAAGCAAATAATAGAATTCTGAACGTACTAATTCTTACCTCAGCTGTATAAGGCCTATAATACATAGTAGCCATTTTCCCAGATTTGTCTGTTTTATCACAAATTACACAAATACAATAATCCCCAACACACTATTTATGATGGTGGCCTAATTCTTCTTCACATTTTCAATTTTTATGACACACATTTGGCAAAGAAATAGTTAAATCCTTCTTGGCATGATCAGGCTGTACAAAGATCTTCTAATATTATACACTTTAAGATTGCATGGGGCTTCCTAAAGGAGCTGATCTCAAAAAACACCATATGCATTTAACATGCACCTTAAAATACTTAGTTAATCATTTCTTAAGGAAGTGTTTGTGTCAGTTTTGCAATTAATTGTCTGGTGATTTAAAGAATTTTGACAGGTGTAAATCTGAAATTTGGTAATCTTTTTGTTTACATATGGCCTCTTGGTAACCAAGGCAAGTTTGCACAGGATCAACAGGTAACATGATTTCTCCACCTGGCTGAACATTTAAAGTTACCTGAACTTAAAAAGAAAACTGCAGCTCATTTTACAGGATAGCCCAGAGAAATCAATATTTCTTTATCAACAGATATAATACACAGACGAGAAAGACTTGATTGATAGGAATATAAATCTAGAATGTATTCTACACATGCAATATTATACATTTTATTGACTGGCTTGATATTTCATGAAATATTTAATCTTTATCTTATTAATTTAATAATAAATTCCACTCACACAGCATGCAGGTATAATACATGCAGGAAGTTTGTAACAATTAGACAACATTCTTGATAGAATTAATAAATTGAAGAATTCTTTTAAATACATTGAAAATGCAGTTAAAGGGGAATAACTCTGAATAGCAAAATATTTAATTGAAAGCAAAGCAGGGTAATACATTTAAACAGGGTTAAATAAATCCAGTTGTTACCTGTAAATCTGATAATGAATAGACTTGGAACAAACAATTAGGCTACAACATAATACAACACTGATTGAAATCATTCATTTCTATTATAATCTGTAGAGAAAGATTTTTGAGTCAGAAAGGAGGATAATTCTGAAAGACTAAACTAAAAATTGACCCCCCCCCCCCCCCAAAAAAAAAGGAAAAATCTTATTCCTAAATAAGGCAAACACTCAAAATTACCAGTAAGAATAAGTACAACCCCAAAAATTATCGTTTGTTGGTTTTTTTTTTTTTTTTACAGCTGCAGAAATTAGAATGAAGTGATTAGAAATTTTACTTTGAACATTGCTGAAATGCTTTCTGTGTTATGTAAAATTTGTAAAACAAAACTGGTCTGTGTAACACTAAAACTGTATGCAGTGATCTATGATGAATAACAAAATCTTTTCCTGAGTGACGTGTTAACTCATAATATCATAGAAAAACAGAAAGTATTTGGATTAATAAACTTTGGGCATCATGAACCTTAAAATGTCCAGAATTAAATAGTCAAAAAGGGTATTTTAGGTGTAGAATCTCAGAAAAAAAAATGAATTAAAACCTTAGCCCTACTGGAATCAAACTCCTGAAAAAATAAAGCTTACTAAGCTATCCTTGTAGATAATGCAATTCAGAAGGACAAATCACATAAGATTTAAATTTGATAATTTATTGTAACACACATTATTTGCAACATTTTGACAAAGTTTTATTCTACTTTAACCAGTACCATTTTATGCCCTGTTCACACGAATATGCATTAAATATTTCATTCGCAGTAAATAAATTCATAGTAAAATAATGCGAATTAAACTAATCCGATTTAATTCATGTTCACACAACAGTCAATGCAAAGTAAACTATGTGAATTAAATTTTTATTTCTATATAGTAAGGCTATTATGATGTCATTTACAAATCATGTCACCTTATGCACAGCAGATTACATTTGACATAATATCATGGTGTCTGTACAGATATTTACTGATAAACTTAATTCATCTTTGTTTTTCACTCAAAAATAGCATAAGTACTGATATCTGACCACCGACATGTGGCAATTAAGTGGCTTTACTTTGCTATTACACATGCGTCAGAATTAAATTTGAATTAGCTTTGCTATAGCCTTAACACAGAGCTAAATGTGAAGTAATTTGATACGTAGTAAATTAATTCAAATTAAACTAATTCACATTCAATTCTCTCTGTGAACATGGTTCAAATTTAATTCGCAGTAACTTAGGTTTAATTCAAATTAAACTCTCTGTGTGAACATGGTTCAAATTTAATTCGCAGTAACTTAGGTTTAATTCAAATTAAACTCTCTGTGTGAACAGGGCATTAAAATGTTAATGTAAATTTCCCATAAAATTATAAAGATGAGACAGATTGAGGATAAAGTTAATTACATACAATGACATCAGAGTCTTCACATTCAGAAGTGTATACATAAGAACGTAGCAGAAATGAAAAAAAAAAGACACAGCGGCCTCTGGTTTGATCTTTGACTTACCAAATCACATTAATCTGCCATATCAAAATTAATATCATTTAAAATCGATCAGAATAAAATCATCTTGACATTACATGCACACATAAATATGAGTACCTCCGAAGCATACGCTTATCAAGCACTATGATAAAAATTAGAAACAACACAAGTATGCAATGTTTGTGTTTTTCTCTATACATGTACATAATTTAAATATTTCTGTGCAAAAAAAAAAGATTTTTTTCTTTCTAAATAAGTTAATATTTAAGCATTTCTTTGTGCACATTACAAATATAATGAGGACTAAAGGTGATGTAGTTAATGTTCAATAAGTTAGAACTACAGGACAATAAACCTGTACTTACAGACATGGGTTTCTTGTATACTTTCTGTAAGTAGTACCCGGGCTGTTGCGGGGGAGATTCCGGTTTCTCAGTTCCCATCGAGTCCCACGATGTCTCGTCAGCAAAGTTAACCTTTAACACTTCTGGTGATTTCACACCATTAGCGTCATCTCCAGTACGGAAGTACCCAGCACTCGGCTCAGGGAACAAATCCAGAGCAGGGAGGGATTCCAGATTGTCTGCCCTCACCATGGCATCCGGTTCCTGAAGGAATCCAGAAAATTATATTAACCAAAATCCTCCTTTTTCATTTCTCTCCTTGGTATTCATTAAAAGAGTTTAATTCTTGCAAAACCTTTAGAATTTTCTTAAGAAGTATGACTTCAGAATGTGTCAAATTTGTTATTAACTTACACTATTTGTAATGAGCTTTAAAATTACTCCAACTGTGGGTTGTGTCCCCTCGATTGTTACGATGTCTGTACCCTGTAAAATATACACTGTTCATTTCAGCTTCACTGTAAAACAACTATCAAATAATTTGTGTTCATTATGCTATACAGTTAATTTATAAAATGTTAATTAAAAAATTAAGATTCATTTTGCTTTATATTTCTTGGAATTGAATTGTAGAATGAAGAAAATGATACAGTACATGGTGTTTTATTAATACTACAAGAGTGTGAAGTAAAGAGTATGTGGGGAAATGACTGGTATAGAACACAAAAAAGTACCTATATGAGAAATCAACAGCTTATAACAAAATATCAACTTTTTATATAATTCATGTTCATACATTGTCCACCCACGAATAGTTGACTTGGCATAGCCAGCTGAACATTTGATAGGTGGGTACAGTTCCAATGGGTAGAAGCATGTGTAAAATAAAGTTTTCCTTTCATGAATCTTTACAAAATAATGCCTATATCTATATATGAGGTCAGATGGTCAGCCATTGATTTGTCATTAACTTGTCATAATGGACATTAGCGAGTAGAATTTTTTTAAAAGGTAACTGAAAGGTTACTCCCGCTTGGTCAACTTAGTGTGGGTGGACAGTAGCTATTAACAATGAAAAACTAAATGGACCTGGTACTAATCTACAGGGTGTGAATAAAATCTGTCATCTAACTAATTAATGACCACTGACCAATACTTTTATTATCTAAGGAGATGTTTAGTTTTCATGAACTTATGTGTCATTTACTTACACCAGGATAATCTTTGAAAACCTTTAATAAAATATTCTCAAGTATAGAATAAAAGTGCCTAATTTCTCACATCTTAACTGTCAGGGTATATAACTTCCTTTTTTTGATTTCATAAAATGGGAAAATAATAAAGTAAATATTAATTTAATACCACGACAATTTTAATGATCAAATTACTAAACAATGAATGATTTACTGTATCATTCATGAAGCTCACTGATTATCAAGTCGTTGAGCACTCAATCAATATTACTCATTTATTGATTTGCAAGTGACTGTTCACAGAAATAAGACGGGTTGTTCAAGTCTGATGGAAGGTGAGACGAAGCCTTTGTCTAACTTTTTACAGGTAGATTGTATACTCTCAGTAATTTGTCTTACCTGTACTGGTCGATTGTCCTCTCCTAGCCCTGTGTTTTACCTGTACAGGAAGGTTATCTACTCTCAGTCCTTTGTCCTACCTATGCAGGTAGATTGTCTAATTTCAGTTTTTTGTCTAACCTGTAGAGGTAGATTGTCTACTCTCAACCCTTTGTCTTACCTTTACAGGTAGATTTTCTACTCTCGGTCCTTTGTCAAACCTGTACAGGTAAAATTTCTTCTCTCTATTCTCAGCTCTTGTCTTTCCTGTACAGGTAGATTGTCTACTCTCAATCTTTTGTCTTACCTTTACAGGTAGATTGGCTACTCTCAGTCCTTTATCAAACCTGTGCAGGTAGATTGTCTACTGTCTACTCTCAGCTCTTTGTCTAACCTGTACAGGTTCCCAGTCCTTTGTCTTACCTGTAAGGGTAGATTGTCTACTCTCTACTCTCAGCTCTTTGTCTTACCTGTACAGGTTCCCAGTCCTTTGTCTTACCTGTAAGGGTAGATTGTCTACTCTCTATTCTCAGCTCTTTGTCTTTCCTGTACAGGTAGATTGTCTACTTTCTATTCTCAGCTCTTTGTCTTTCCTGTACAGGTAGATTGTCTATGCTCAGTCCTTTGTCTTACCTTTACACAGGAAGATTGTCTACTCTCAGTCCTTTGTCAAACCTGTACAGGTAGATTTCCTACTCTCAGTCCTTCGTCAAACCTGTACAGGTAGATTGCCTACTCCCTTCTCTCAGCTCTCTTGTCTCTTTGCCTGTACAGGTCCTCAGTCCTTTGTCTTACCTGTACAGGTATACTGTCTACTCTCAGTCCTTTGTCTTACTTGTATGGGTAAGTTGACTACTCTCAGCCCTTTGTCTTACCTGTACAGGAAGGTTATCTACTCTCAGCCCTTTGTCTTACCTGTAGAGGTAGATTGTCTACTCTCAGCCCTTTGTCTTACCTGTAGAGGTAGATTGTCTACTCTCAGCCCTTTGTCTTACCTGTAGAGGTAGATTGTCTACTCTCTGCCCTTTGTCTTACCTGTAGAGGTAGATTACATTCAGCCCTTTGTCTTACCTGTAATGTTATATTATCTACTCTCAGCCCTTAGTCTTACCTGTACAGGTAGGTTATCTACTCTCAGACCTTTGACTGCATTCTCCTTTATCAGCTCCTTGTACAAATCTTTGTCAAGCTGTAAAGCTGAGAACCCCATAGGACTCTTCACCTTCCAGAACTGATCTGTCATGGCTGGAAAAGAATATAAAATCTGTGCAGAAAAAGTCAAACAAGAATACATAGAGGATATTATTTCAGGAGTGGGACAGGATTTTTTTTTTAAATATTTTCATGGATGGGAAGCTCAGTCTCACAAAAGAAATAAATTCCATATCCAACTACAAAACTGTCATACAGTGAAACTTTTGTTTTACATCGTTTTACATGTTGTCTATTCCGGAATGTTGTCTAATCCAGACAATTACTTTAGAACCAGTGGTGTCCGGATTAGACAAGTTTTACTGTAATACCCTTAGCACCACCCATCATCACCGTATGATTCACTCAGAATGTGAGCATCCTTTGATAATACTGATTTCTCTGTTTATTACATTTTCTTTGCCTCTCTCTTTTCGTAATCCAGTTCTTTCTCTATCCAGAGTTCTTGTTCCCACTACGCTCTTCTGTCAATGCTTGTCATACAAGATTCATGGAAAATTTGTAAATGGGGAAAAATTGTATTAAATTTTTTAATTATATCGTTAATCAGGATTTATGTTTTTAAATCTGTCATCCTTTTAAAGGATTTTTTCCAAGTTTTTTATAAAATTTTTACTCCGCAAAATAGTTCCTTAATAACTGAGAAAGTAAATTTGTTTTAAGTAGGGATGTCAATTTTGTCAATAATTCATATTCGAATATTCAATGCAAGTATTCGAATATATTCGAATATTCGATAAAATAAATAAAATCTGTTTAATTTATATAATGCATCATCCTACTCTCATGAAAGGTTTAGCGTAGGTATACTTATATTGGAAGTAAAATTGTATGAAGACTTTTGTAGGTGTACAATAAGGAATTCCATTTGATATTTGTCAATGTTTGAAATAAATAATTGATATCAATGTAGAAAAGTATAATTTTAACAAAGGAAACATGTGTATTTATAGTGGCTCCAACTGAGGAACCAGTCGTCTTACCAAAGGCGAGATGTAGTCGTAACGGTGTACTTTTCAGATTTCAATACATGTAATGAATTACAGTTATCTGCCTAATAAGAGATATTATTATAATCTTTGATACAATGTAAACAAATATTTCCATAGACAATTTTCCTAGGTAATTAACTAATTTCCCGATAATGAATATAAAATTTAGAATTATGTACAACCCGAGATAATCATTGACAAGTAATTTACACATTTATGCTGAAATTGAGCAATATTGAATACAGACTAATTCTATCGGACATTCATTCAATGATCAATTAAATTTATTTTGAAAAGTATACTCCTCGCGTCTTTTAGACATTCTAAGAAGGTTTTCATTTTGTTGTCCTTGATTCTAGATCCAATAGTATCTAACTAATAAAAACTATGAAAGTACGTTTTGTATTATACATAAAGCATTATTGTACAATTCATTAACACCTTGCTTAAAACAAAATACATGTAATTTAGTATACCTATAAGATAAGAAAGTAGTGAAAGAAATCAGGCGATCGAAATTGATCGTTAGTAAATTAAACAGGGACAATTCCAGCACTGTTCTAATCAAAATTTATTAATCACAGTACTTCTTTTTACGAAATCTGAAAAACACCGAATATTCGAATCTTAAATTCATATTCGAATATCAACTCATCGAATGAATATTCGAATGTTCGAATATTCGTTGCCACCCCTAGTTTTAAGGGATTATAGTTTTAAAATAGATGATAAAATTCCATCTTTATTGATAATTACATTAACTTATTATGATTTTAACTTTAAATTTTCAACATTTAAAACTTGTCCAAGAATCTTGTACAACAAGCACGACAGAGGTGTTGGGAGTGTTGTGGAAGACCTCATAGTTGACTGTGACATCATAGTTGAGCAGATGTGAGACATCATAGCTAAGTGATTGTGAGGTTGAAAATTGTATACAGGGATATACAACAATTTGGAGAAACTGTTTCAGTTTTAGTCTGTGTCAGGATGATTAATACTCTCGCTCTCTTAAAATGGGGAAAAAGGCAGAGATTTACTTTTACATTGTAGTGTCAGCTCATTTGGGGACTTTAGGCTCTCAGTATGTTAAAGAGGTACAATTTTTAATCTATCAGATCATCTCAGGTTAAGGTCTTCAGGAATTATGATTTTTCCTTTTCATGTAAATTTTCAACTTAAATCATTGGAATAAACTGAAGCTATTATTGGATCATTGACCTTGACCCTGCTTGCCTGAGTCCTGGTGGTAGTACTCTATAACTAGAGCTGCTGATGGGGTGAAGAGAGTGACCTTGACCTTGCTTACCCGAGTCCTGGTGGTAGTACTCGATCACTAGAGCTGCTGATGGGGTGAAGAGAGTGACCTTGACCTTGCTTACCTGTGTCCTGGTGGTAGTACTCTATAACTAGAGCTGCTGATGGGGTGAAGAGAGTGGCCTTGTCTCTCTCGTCACAGAACAGGTACGGGTGATTCCACACTGGCTGTACGTCAGGCTTCCCTGGCAAACTTATCTGTTAAAGGAACAATTTCTCTTTTAAATCAACATCTGCATTATTATTGCTAATCAATTTAAAATTGAACTCCATGTTTCCAAGATAAAGAAACAAAACCTGCATGTCTCACAACCAAATGATAAAACATGAACAGGGTTTTTGAAATTATGAATAAAAGGAAGCAATTTAAGGATCTTTCCATACTGTTTTTTTTACTGTACATGTATTATTTGTAAGGTACATGTACTATGTCATACATACCTGAGGATAGCCATGTTTAGTCCCTGGGGGAACACTGAAGGAGGCAGGGTGGGGTGAAGGAAATGAGACACTTGTCATTGTGACCCCAGCAGCACGAGGGTTAGAGATCAAGTAATTACTTCTGTAAATTAAAAATAGGGTTGTTTTATTTAAATGCAGTTAGATAAATCAGAAGATGATGATTCCTAAGACTAACCTGTAATTGTAGAAGTCAGGGACAATCCTAGCCACAGCAATAAGGGGCCCCATAGAGGTCTGTAGTGGTTTCTGGACAGCTTGAAGTAAAACCTACAAATTCACAATTACAATTTTGTATATAAAATAAAAACTTAAAATCAAAGGAAAAAAGTGAGAATTTAAGGCTTTGTGTGTACCTCTAGTCCCAGATAGTTTGGAGAAGAAGCATCTTTAGGGAGTTTCGACAGTTTTCTGGTTATTGAGGCAAACACTCGAACTCCATTAGGCACCCCCTTCTTTGGCTATAAAAGTATTAGTGGGAAATGTTACATATATGCAATATGTTTATAAATACATGAACCAAATTGCTCTCCTTGGCATCACATTGACAGCAGAAACTTTTACAAGGAATTTCTATGAACTAAAGGAGTCAACAACCTTTTACAAAATTCTTTGAAACTTAACTTTTTTGTCCAATGTGGAGGTCTGCCTATTATTATAACTGTGTAAATTTATTTTTTTAAAATGTCAACATTGCATATTTCAAAAATAACTGTGAGTAGTTGAAATTCTGCTGATCTCCCTTTAAATCTAGTCTTGTAAGAGTTACTTACCTTGACCAGTTCCAGGTGATATTGGTGGAATGGCTGTAGTGAGTTGACAGGGATTTTGTAGTCCACTAGTTCCTGTTTAGATGGACCGTCAGCCACTGAGACCACCAGGACTGAAGAACAACATTACAGAGTGTAACAGAGGCAGAATATTTGTCACATTTTGTACAATTTATTTTTTACAGCAAAGAAGTAGGTATGATTGGCATTTGATTTTAGATCAAAGGAACATATACATTGATCTAAAACAAATGCCAATCATACCTACAAGGAACATATACATGTATTTCCATAGCTTAAAAAATGACTTATAATCAACCTCACCTGTTACAGTGTTACAGTTTAATTATGGTCTCACTGACCATTAAACCAGTCAATTTTTAAACATTTATTGTTATGCTTTGCTTTTTTCAAACACTTCTCTATGCATGTATATGTATATGTTTGCCTAATTGTTAATAAATCAGAAGAAACTATCTTTAAATCAATTGAAATCACAATTAAAATTTCCTCAATTCTAGAGTGATATATTTTTTCCCTTACAGAAAAAAAAATTACGGACATTCTGCTGAAAAATATATAGGAACTCGTGTTGGAATTCAATTTATATAAAAACTTTCGAACAAAAAAAAATCTCATTAAGTAAGAGGAGACATATTCAATTTCTAATAAATTGCAGTGCAATTCAATTTATGACAGAAGACCAGTAGGGTCCCTCAGATAATCAAACTTAAATCAATACAAACTCCTCCAAAGGCAGAGGGATTAGACTGCAATAAATGAAACAAACAAAGGGATTCCATTCATTTTAACTGTTGTGTCATGGAGACATTTGTAGCTTAGAGACATTAATATGCTGACTTGTCACAGACAATCTTACATCTTATGTGTTAGAGACAATCTTACTTCTTATTTGTCATAATATGTACGAAGCAGATATTTGCTAAGTCACCTGTTGATTGAATTAGGTTTCCCTAAGACAACTGCATACATTTCATTTTCAAACACAAATAAAAAAAAATTTAAGCCAGCTGAATTTTCTCAATCTAAATAATTATTTTCATTATAGTGGTAATTGTTTTCATGTTTAGTTGTCCTTTAATCAGTTTCTTAGATATTTTTCTTAATTGTTATATTTCTAATGATATGTCCCTCCCTGTTATCTAATCTCAAATATAACAATAGTTTGATTTCAAACTTATACATGTATTTACATGATTACATGTTTACATGATTACATTTTACACACAAATCATCATCAAAATTTATTAAGAAAATTTTCAAAACTGCCTGTCCCTCTTGAATCTTCCATAAATATATAGAGGATATTCAATGTTTTGTAGTTGGATATGGAATTTATTTCACGAGTGGGACGGGATTTTTTTTATATTTTCACGAGTGCATTTCTGCTGGATATTCATCCCCATTGATTATATTTTTGCTGAATATTCATCTCTATGTTTATACATTTTTGCCAGTTATACATTTCCATGATTACACTTTTGCTGGATATTTATCCCCATGATTTCACTTTTGCTGGATAATTTTTTTTATCACAATGATTTTATTTTCCCAGGATACTGATTGAGACATTAGCCTAAGGATTAAATTTTTCTAGGACACTTACATTTATTTCTATTATTACTTACTTTTACATTTCCCCTGGATATTTTAATTTATTACCAATTGATTACATTTCCCAGAAAACTTACATTCATCTAAGTATTTACATTTTTCCATAATATGGACACACACTTCTCTGATTGCATTTCCTCTGGATATTTACATAAATCTATCTGATTACATTATTTCATTATCTGATTACTTACATTTACCACCATGATTACATTTGCCCCCCAGGATACTTACATTCATCCCGTGCTTCTGATGAGTCCAGGGTAGTTTTGATCATCTCCTCCCAAGAAGGGGAACTTGTAGGTCTCAGAGAAGTGTGGGTCACAGAACCTTTCTGATCCTCATCCGATTTCTTCCTAAAAATAATTATTTTGATTTTTTTTAGATTTTGGGCCATGTTTGTGTGTGAAATACTACAAAGAAAGCAAAAATTTTTTGTGTACAGTTAAGATGAAAATCATGCATCAAGCAATTCACTTACAAGATGATAAAAGCTTGAGGCGTTGTGCCAGACTCTGTGTTGGGGAGACTTGAGGCTCCGTGGAAGATGACATCGATCTGTTCCTCCCCCAGCTTTGACACGTGTCTGTACGAGGACTCGGTGTGGTAGGTGTGTCTGTCCTTGTCCTCAAGAGGATCCTCCTTAACCTGAAAAATAACAATAAATTAACAAATCAACCAAAAACAAATATTCAGTCACATTTCAAATTTAGGGCTTTAAATCTTTATCCCTTTTCTATAGAAGAGTTTAGTCCCTTACCCTTTTGTTGTCAGACAGAGGTGGGTAGGGTGGGGAGGAGGGAAGCAAAATGGATATGTTGTCCCCACCCCAGGAGCTCGTTGGTGAGGGGGGTGGTTTTGGTTTTGGGACTGGTCGGCTGGAGGGTGGTGGAGTTTGTTTCTTTTTTATTTTTTTAGGTGGTGTTTTAAGTGGTGATTTTGGTTTGGGAGCAACAACTTCTCGCAATGCATAAACACTCCGTATTCTCCCACAATGCATCTGTACACTGTCTGTACTGACTGTCCTTAAGAGAGACAATACATCAGTGTAGTTGTAGAAATCTTCACCAGGCTCCACATTGGCTTTGATTTTCGGGGCATTCGGCCGAGGGTAGATAGCAAACTTTCCCTCTCCGACTTTCTTCCCCATGCCACCATTGTTTGGAAGGTTGAAGGCCTCCACAAGTAAATACAGATCATGATTCTTGTCATTCTTACAAAATCCTGTTCAAGAAAAGAAGTCAAAAGACATTATTAGTAGGGATGTCAATTTTGTCAATAATTCATATTCGAATATTCAATGAAAGTATTCGAATATATTCGAATATTCGATAAAATAAATAAAATTTGTTTAATTTATATATGCATCATCCTACTCTCATGAAAGGTTTAGAGTAGGTATACTTATATTGGAAGTAAAATTGTATGAAGACTTTTGTAGGTGTACGATAAGAAATTCCATTTGATATTTGTCAATATATAATTGATTTCAATGTAGAAAAGTATAATCTTAACAAATGAAACGTGTATTTATTAGTAGCTCCAACTGAGGAACCAGTCGTCTTACCAAAGCCAAGATATAGTTGTAACGGTGTACTGTTCAGATTTCAATACGTGTAATATACAATTATCTGCCTAATAAGAGAATCTGATATGATTATAATCTTTGATACAATGTTTTTAAAATATATAAACAAATATTTCCATAGACAATTTTCCTAAGTAATTAACTAATTTCCCGATAATGAATATAAAACTTAGGATTATGTACAACCGGAGATAATCAAGTAATTTACACAAATATTCTGAAATTGAGCAATATTAATTACAGACTAATTCTATTGGACATTCCTTCAATGATCAATTAAATTTATTTTGAAAAGTATACTCTTTGCGTCTTTTAGACATTCTAAGAGGGTTTTCATTTTGTTGTCCTTGATTCTAGATCCGATAGTATCTAACTAATAAAAAACAATGAAAGTACGTTTTGTATTATACATAAAGCATTTTTGTACAATTCTTTAACACCTTACTCAAAACAAAATAAATGTAATTTAGTATACCTATAAGATAAGAAAGTAGTGAAAGAAATCAGGCAATCGAAATTGATCGCTAGTAAATTAAACAGGGATAATTCCAGCACTGTTCTAATCAAAATTTATTAATCACAGTACTTCTTTTTATGAAATCTGAAAAACACCGAATATTCGAATCTTAAATTCATATTCAAATATCAACTCATCGAATGAATATTCGAATATTCATTGCCATCCCTAATTATTAGGCTTTTAGCTTTTTTTAAGGATTGCACTGTAACAATATAGTTTCATACCAAGGTGTAAATTTAACATTGCAATTGTGATATTTATCCAAAAGCTATGCAAAGAGTGAAATTAAACCAGCACTATTGTTAATGACCATAGAACAATATCAAATTCTATTTCAAACATGTATCTTTGTATTGACATTTTACTTGAAAAATACTGCAGATCACTCAAATTTTGTTAAACCTTATTTTTGTGAGACTGTCCTTTAATTTTTATTTATAATGAATAATAATAATTTCATGAAATTTGGTTACTGCTCTATATATTTATCTTTAAGAGTAGAATTATAAGCAAGAATGAAATTTTCACAAGCAGACAGTCTTGCATAATTTCACGAAAATAAAGTTCTCCTGAATAAAAAATGATTTACAGTACAAATGAATCAATTAATTTGTTATCAACGTAAAACATAACTAAATAAAGTAACAAAAAGGTTAAACACGGTTCTCTACTTGTACAGAAATGACACCTCCTGAAACTTACCAACAGGGAGCCGGAAGGTAAATTGTTTGTCCTGAAATCTGGACAGCACTGCAGACTCCTGCTGTGTTACCACGTCAGTTTCAGCCTCGTTCTCATTTGTGTACGGAGCACCGTAACCTTTCTGTACCTGTACCCCACTGTAGTCCTTGGTGTGTAGGCTCTGGATGGAGAGCCTAAGGAAGTATCGACCCTCATGGTTAAACTGTGCATCCTGAATGTCCACTTGGAATTCTAAAGCCTTGTCATCCACCTTAGGAAGATGGGAAGTCAGTGATTCCATGTCTTGTGTTATTACTGAAATAAAGTCCCAATAACAAACTTGATTATGAAACTAATTAAAACATGTTTTATCATTCTGTTACATAGTAATTATGACTTTGTAACAAGAATAAAACTTACAATTTTCTTTTACTCTATCTGGTGCATAACTGTGAACTAATTTTCAAAAATCTTTGAACCTCAAAATATCTTAACAAAGCACATGTATAAGATTTCAGGCAGGGTAAAAGGTTTTGTAAATCTTAATTCCTTTTTCCAATTATCACACAACTGATATAGATTCAAGTCTTGATATACCCCCTCCTATCTTAATGTTCCTTTTAATCACTTTAATAAATGTTTTCTCTATGTGCAAGCTTTCATCTCCAATAATTAATTCCACATACAAGAAATAGACCTTTACAATCTTTAGAGATTTTTGTCATCAAATTTCAAATTTAAAGCCATGTTGACATCCAACACAAACCATTTAAAGAGCCCAAAAAATCCATTGTCACAGAAAAACCCATAAATAATAAAACTGATAACTAAACATGTACCTGATATCAGAGAAATATGTGTGCCTTATTTGTTAGTGGGATTTAATAAAACCCCAAAAGACATCTCTAATCATTAAAAGTTGTTCAGAAAAATAGAAAATTAAATTCCAAAAAGATGATATCTTTAAGGACTGGTCAATAGTGTACTAAAAATTTTCTAACTACAATTCCCTAATTCCATTGCAAATAAATATGAAAAAAAATTAAACAAATCATATAAAAAAGTTTATAACTTTAAACATTTAAAACATCAAATTAAGTATAACTATGAAACTAAATTTCCTACACTTTCATCTTACCCTTAGGTAAACAGTATTTCCATTCCTGATCAATTCTCTGAAGGAATGCTACAAGTCATCTTATTTCCATATTAAAGGCATCTACCAAATATAAATTATTGTATAATATAGGTTAGCAAACTATGAAGTAAAGAAATTTTCTCTTTGTGATTTTCATGTACAGTAGAATCTATTGAGAGATATATAATAGTATTCTATCATGCATTCAAATTCAAAAGTTTAAATCTCTGGTGCCATGAAATCAAGCAATGCACTGTCAATACCTGTGAACACAGACTGAACAAATCATTGGGAGATGGTCTCTTTAAATGGCACTGCCAAGATTCTATAAAGCAAGGATGAAAAATATGTTTTCCTGATCATTAGATCACATCAAAGTAATAAAAAATAAAGGAAATCATAACTATTCATGCAGGTAATTGACTCCATAAATATGTACAGGTAAAACATATATTTTGAAGGTATTGAATAAAATCTTTCCAAGGAATCTGAGTTACATAAAACTGGGGATTTAAATTTACTTTACTTGTAAACTAGTGAAAATGTTTACCTTTCTTCAAAGAAATAATTCTAAAATTCTATTTATTCATTTTACTAAAATATAAGCCCATGTGAGGCATGCCAATGATTTAATGCTGAATAGGATATAAGGTATTTAGTAGGATAAGAAAAATCCCCTCCCCATTTATAGATTTGATTTGATCTGAACTGCAAGGTTCATAATCTTAGGATAATTCCAGAAAAAGCCCAAATCAACTACAACAAAATGGTATTCATCAATACTACCCACTTTCAAAGGTAGGCCCTATGCCTTTGCTCCTTCAGCATCATGATACAGTGAAGGGCTATCGTTATATTAAATAACCCCCCCCCCCCTCCTTTCAAAAGGGGATGCAAAAATTAACATCCGGTATGTATGCCTATAGATAAAATTCTAAGAGGATTATTATACATATTCATCATGTCTTATTGATTGGCGGCATTTCCTAACACGACACTGCTGGCATTGTTTTAAAGATGCAGTAATTCTCAACTTTTACATATATAGGAGATCGTCACTATGTCGAGTAGTCGTACCGAGAAGAAATACATAAATGCCCTGAATGAACTTGAGCGCAACTTTTATTGAACAGTAAATTAATATATATTTATTTTTCGCCCTTTAATTTAAATAATATACGATAAAATAATGTCATTTAAAAATCTGATTAATTACATGACTAATATTACGTACGAGTTGCTAGAATTTTTCTTATTTATAGAAACTGATCTATTTATAGAAACTGGTGTAATCCGAAAGTGAATAATCGTTCGGACAAAGCGAAAGCAAACAATTTTACTGCCAAAAGTTTTCAGTTTATCAGGAGCCATGGAAGAAAACATGAATACAGAAAGCCGACAAGGTTTGTAATAAACAATCAACCACTGTGCAATGTGTAAATATATGATGATTAAGTATGTATGGCTATGCTTTTGACGTCATTTATTGTTTTCATTGGAGAAAATTCGAAACACATCCGATACCTCAGTTTAAGAGCAATAATATTTTAATTGCTATATCTTCAGGAAGTTAAATAGGTCATTCGCTAAGACACAAATAATACCATTTAGAAAAAAGTAGATTATATTAAATAATTACAGTACTGTACCTATATAGCATAGGGGCTTGTCTTCCGGATTGTTAGATGTAAACTAAATTGATAAAAATTTTGAATCTACTTTAAATACACTTTAAAGTTGTTAAAATAAAGATTCTGACACTTTCAGTCAAGAAAAACCACGTTTAAAAAAGAGATAACACACCTATATACTGATTTTTCACTATATAAGAGTAAATCGATATATTTTGCTGATTCCCTGAAAATCACCGGAAAAAACACGGGGACCCATTTTACAGAAGAACTTACGACTAAGACCAAAATTTAATACTGCTTATAACTTTCTAATTTGCATTAAATTGAAAATGGTTTTAATCTTTTAAAAAGTAATGTAGAAGGATACTTTTACTCTACTTATACAATTTTAAACAGAATGATTGATTTTGTAAAATTTCACAAACAACTGAAGTATTTGGTCTTAGTCATAAGTTCTTTTGTAAAACAGACCCCTGATTCCCTGCACTAAAGGTGTGTCAGTTTGATGAACTGATACACATCTATTTGGAACACCTAGCAATTTCTTTTAATCATATGAAAAGTACTGATATGTTCCAGATAAAATCATAATATTCAAGATGCAGCTCAGTTAAAGTTATATATAAGAAGGCGGGGCTTAATTTAGACGGGAAAGAGTAACTTGTTAATTGTGACATCAACATGGTAAACTGATGTCCACTGAGAGCTAGAGATCACGTAACTTTGTCACGTAAACGCAGTGTAAATTGTTATAAAATAAACTAAGTTGCTTGCAGATATATGTATTTTATAGACCATTGTTTCAAAGGCAAATACCTTTTAATATTAAATTTATTTAATATTTATTTTTTTCAAAACAACATTGAAGTTCTTTTTTACGCTGTACAGATGTAGATGTTTCTGATGCGAAGCCTATCTCAGAGACTGACGCTTTTGGATTTGGAAAATCTGCTTCACACAGGTGTGTATTTATGTGTATGATAATGAAAAAGAAATATAATTACTGCAATTTTAGGGAAGAAAAGAATGCCAATTATAAAAATTTTATGTTTCACAAAATTATGGAACCACTGAAATGATGGCATTTTCTTTGAAACAGAATAAACATTTTAAGAAAATTCTTGGCTACACATAATAGATATACTGTAAAAGTGTTTCTGATGGTGGGATAATTTAGAAATTCTAGAGATATTGTAAACATTTTCATGACACTGTAAAAACGTCTCTGTTAATGACATTTGACCTTTTTAATTAATATTTTTATGACTTCTTTATGTACAGTACTAAGCCAGTAGCCACTACAATACAGACAGCCTCAGAGTTTTTCTCATCAAAGTACAAGATGGACTATGATAACAGAGGTAAAGCCATTATCATCAATAACAAGAAGTTCAACCCGAACACTGGCCTGAACGACCGAAATGGAACTGACGTTGACGCCTCTGCTCTCTGCTGTCGGTTTTCCGAGCTCGACTTTGAAGTAGATCTGTTTCACAATCTCAAAGCAGATGAAATTTTATCTCAGTTAAGAAAAGGTAAAATAACTTAACAGTTCTCTCGATTTTATAATGTCAAGAAAGATAGCTACAACAACCGATACAGAATAAATTGTCAGCGATATACAATTTTAGCTACCTCAAAACACTCACTAATAATGCCAAAATTGAATCCTCACTAAAAATTCTGCTTATACGGTATAAAAATTTATCCACCACTGTTTTTAAATACTTCCCTTTACATTGTAACAGCTGCTGCTGATGACCATAGGAACAATGACTGTTTCGCTTGTGCTATTCTGTCCCACGGGGAGGATGGTTTGATTTGGGGAATAGACAGACTGATTCCAATCAATGACCTCCTTGAGCCATTCAAGGGGAATAAATGTCTCTCTCTGGCAGGCAAACCCAAAATCTTTTTCATTCAGGTAGATACAGTTTGTTAGTTTCTTGGACTGTCGTAAACCATTTAATACTGTAATGATGTACCTTCTATGTATCATTTTGTGAGAGTTAAGAATACATTCAAGGAATTTCAACAATTTAACCAGTGTATAACTCAAATTTTGAAAAATTAAAAGAAAAACAATTTATGATATGCAATGAAATACTTTTAGTTCTAAAGAATTGTTGATTGAATCAGTTTCAATTTTTTTTATGGTGATGTTACAGGTCTTAATTAAGATTGTTTATTACACAATATGTATAAATTTATTTTTACACAGGCTTGCCGTGGCACCAAGTTTGATGAAGGTGTGGACATGAACGTTGCTGATGCTAAAGGATTCATGGATATTGAGCCACAGTTCTCTCTCCAGAAAATCCCATCAGAGGCAGACTTTCTCTTGGCTTACTCAGTCGTCCCAGGTGAGTTAAAGTAGAACCAATATGTCTGGGCAGCTTTGATTAGTTCTAGCTTGTCAATTGTATTTCAGGTATTTAACACATTTTTTATCCTGAAATATACATGATTTTTTTTCTTGGATTTCAAAATCTCAACAATATGTAGACATAAATATGAGGCGACACAAGACTTATTTCAGGAAATGAATTAATTTCAGTCAGGTGTGCTTGCTTGAGGTGTTAAAATTTTGAATGACTCAGGTAAAAATTCACAACAGTAAAATATATACATGTACATCAGACTAGGGTCTCTAGGTGTGTAGTAGAGATCCTAATATTTAAGCAGAGAATCTTAAACAAAATCTTAACCCAATAAAAACTTTTCTGTTACTCAATAAATATCACATAGAATACAAAGTTGAACTTGAAAAATATATGCCTTGATAATACACTTACAAATTAATCCTTGCAGCAAACTATATTACTTCTTAGGTTTGTTAATGACTGTTCACAGAAATAGTTGGGTTGTTCAAGTCTATGGAAGGCGAGGTGAAGAACAACCCAACATATTTTTGTGGACAGTCAATTACAAACTATATATTAAGTGTTTTGTTTTGTTGAGGACCAATAACAGTTAAAAGAATTTCCAAGATTAATTACAACTAAAGGTATTTCTCATCCAGGCAAATCTCCTTAATTCATCATTTTGCTGTTCAATGATTATGTCACTGAAATGGGGCGTTACTCTAGAATATTTACATTTCCAATGTCTTTGTCCGAGATAAAATTACAAATTGTAAAAATACTTTATTTCTACATAAATCTACTGGTTCATCGATAGGCGCGGTTAAAAAAAATCACGTGCGGGGCGGGACAAATAGAGACAGAAGCGGGGCTATTAGCACGGGAATTTGCAGAATCAGGAGCATGTAAATATAAGGAATAACTGTCAGATTTTTTGGATTCATGACGATGATCAATCGATTGGCTTGCATGATAATTTTATGCATAAACGCCTTCGGCGTTTATGCAAATTATCACGCAAGCCACTCGATTGATCACATCATGAATCCAAAAAATTAGACAGTTATTCCTTAATTAAATCACAGCGTTCCCAAATCAATTTATTGGTTTTATGCACAGAATGCCAACATGATTTTTTTATGATTTGGATGACAACATTTTATCCACCATATTGTCCTCCAAATTCTTTCTACTCCCCATCCAAAGAGACATAGATGACAGGCACATGACATCTATTATCCAATGACAGAGTGTCATTCTAATCACACAGAAAACAAAATAGCTTCATCCTGTACTTAGTTTCAGTTGAATGAGATTTTTTTAAGGTCACCTGAGTCACTGAATGACTCATTGATATGATGGATTTGATTTGTTTATTTCTTTCATAATACAATTGAACTTTGGTATCTCGAACACTGATATCTCAAATACCATGGATATGTCCAAGTTATTTGGAAGTCCCAACCACATATACTTTAAGTATTTTATGCTGGATATCTCAAATCCTCAGATCTCAAAGTTTTTTCTTGGTCCTATCAAGTTCGAGATAATGTGGTTTGACTGTAATTTGTCCTGAGGATTGTGTTACTAAATCAATTGTCCTTTTTCTATAGGTTACTATTCATGGAGAAACTCGTCCAATGGTTCCTGGTTTGTACAGGCTCTGTCTGAGGTTCTCATGAAATACGGCCAGACCTTAGACCTTCTGACCATGATGACCCGGGTCAATCAAATCGTCGCAAACAAATTCCAGTCCAACACGTCCCACCCTGACATGAATGAGAAGAAACAGATTCCGTGCATCACCTCCATGCTCACAAAAGAGGTTTACTTTAATAGTAAATGAGGAGGGGCACCTGCTGTTAAGTTGATGTGATACACTTTACTGCCAGGAAAAAAGAGAGTTAACAAACAAAATGATCTATTAATGATTTTTTTTTTCCTCCACTGTCATACATTGGCAACTCTAACTTTGTGTCAGTTGTTACAGATATAAAAGTTGCCATCATAAGTGAATGCCTGAATGGGTATTTTATTTTTTGGGAGAATGTATATTCAGTGTAAAAGTGTTGATATAAGATAACATTCTTTGATTGTGTTTACCTGTTATAATCAAAATGAGAAATGTTGTAATAAATAATTTTTTTTAGACTTTTAGAAAGTCATTCATTTGTATAAGAATAGTAACTTCACCATTTAATGGAATTTTGAACAATATTTTATTACATCCAAGAAATTACTAGAAGAAAAATAATAAATGAAGATGAAAATCACAATTGCTTTCATGTGGAATAGAATTCTCAGCATAGAAAGATATACTGTATGGGTTTCTTTTTTATTTTTCTATTATTTTACAGTTATATAATATCATTGAGACAATGACTACATTCAATAGAAAAATATGTGTGTGAACTTTTCATTATACAAATCAAAATTCCTGTTTGATTATATACATGTATGTCATCTGTAAATACCAGTGTACATTATCTTTTTGGACTTTGTGGTGCCTGTGAAACCCACAACATTTATCTTGCCTTCATACAATTAAAATCTTATACACCTATAAACTATTTAGTCCAACAATGTATAGTCTTTACCATTTCCTACTCTTGTGTGAAGTTTGTTATGTGGCATCATATGGTGAAAAGAAATACTGTTATATGGAAAAGTGCAAAACTGTAGACATTTTCACAGATATGTTCATATGTCCAGGGCCAGAAAAGAAAATGGTGTTTAAGAGACACTTATGTGTGCATGTAGTAGATTTTTCAAAAGCAGGTCAGATGTCAAGGTCATGGGGTCAAAAAATTTTGGTACCCAAAGGAAGGTCTTGCTGCAAGGAATATATAATACAAGTGATATATGAAAGCCCTAGTACCAACCATTCAAAAGTTATGGTGAAGGTTGAGTTTTACAAAAGTATGTCAGACTCCAAGGTCCATGTCAGAAATGTTGGTCCCAAAAAGATCTTGTCTCAAGGAATACACCTGTGTAATATGAAAGCCCTGGCACCAACTGTTCTAAAGTTATGGCCAAAGTTGAAGTTTACAAAAGTAAGTCAAACTCCAATGTCAAGGTCAAAAATGTTACCCAAAGAAACGTCTTATCACCAGGATTATGCATGTGAAATTCTAAAAGCCCTAGCATCAACTGTTCAAAAGTTATGACCAAGGTTAAAATTTTACAAAAGGTCAAATGTCAAGGTCATGAGGTCAAATATATTGTTACCCAAAGAAAGGTCTTGTCACTAGGAATACATTTGTGAAATATGAAAGTCCTAGCACCAACTGCTCAAAAGTTATGGCCAAGGTTAAAGTTTTTGAGGACAAACACACAGAAGGACAGACCAAAAATTATCTTAGATTGTGGAGGCATACAAATATTTTACCAAAAATCTTTTCTCCAGTATCTTTGTTTTTTAAAATTTTCCACCTTTCATGTGTGAAAATAAAAAAAAAATAAAAGAGGAAACTTTGCAGTGTCATATTTACCTTGTTGCATCAGTGTTAAAAAGTGTTTTTTTTTCTTGACCAGTGTTTATCTGACCGTAAGAACTTGAGAAAAGATTTTCAAGTTTTTGAAAAGCTCCTACAAGGAGGATCAACTCTACTCTATATCTTTAGAATTGAATCAATGAGCATGACCCCACTTATTTTTTCCTTTACAATTTTAAATTGTTTGAAGTTCTCACTGAAAATTACCAAAAGATTCAGATAAAATTCACTGAAGAGATTACAGCAAGGAAGAATCATTTTGAAATTGTGGATTGATATTGTGAAAAATCCGTATTTTTCTTAGACAAGACCCAAGATTTCTTAGATCATTGCATTATATTGCATGCAGTGGTTCTTTAAAACTTCAAATGACCAATTTAAATATTGTTCAAAACCATAATTAAACTACCCCATTGGTAGTAAGCCCATGAATGGATTAAGTTTTACAGATATGTACATAAAATATTTAAGAATTATCTCCCTTTGATAGAAATTTTTTACCCTTCATTTGAGTATAGGGGTAATCCCCTTCATCCTTTTGTGCTTTTTCTCTTGTTTCTATTATTGGTCCAGTGGTACTGGAGAAGGTCAGAATGACAAATACACAATGTACATAAAGGATAACAGACAAGGCTTCTTATCAAGCTGAATATGTATTTTATGTAATACACAAGTAATTACTAGTCTTCCACTTCTGAATGAGGTCAAATGCAAGTCTGACAGCTTAATTAAATGAAAAAGGTGGAAGATAATGAACTGTGATCAATCTTAAACTTTGTGTTTTGATAATCAAATGAACAACAAAATATTATCCAGCAGTAATTTTTATTTTCAACAAAACAGCTATGCATCATATACAAACTAGTTCCAAGACTGTAAGGAAAATAACCAAAATATACTCTTCTTTTTAATACATGTAATGAATAAAACATTAAAGTACCAATGTGTATAAATGCAAAATCTCATGAAAATGAATATATCTACTGTGAAATTCCCTTTTTTTAAAGGAAGGGGGGGGGGGATTTTTCCTTGTTTTCATGGTACATGTATAAACATACCCACAAATTCATGTCCTCTACGAAATGCTAAAACTTTAAACTAATATATCATGTTTCTTCTTCAACCATGAAATCAAGTCCCTTGAACCAATATTTTTTGCTCAAATCATGATAATTTAACATCCGAAAATTGATTTTACAGTATGTGATATGTGAGAATAATATAATGTGTTCTTACGAGGGTAATTCACTCGGGAATGAACAGATCAAAGAACAAAGCACTACAGAGAGCATACCTCTCTGTAAATAACGTACTGACCTCTCTGTAACACAGAAGGATAATGAAACTCATGACTGTCACAACAACCGGGCAAATATTCAACCCAATTAAAAAACTTTTCCCTAACAGACTTTATTTATACTTTTTAAAAATAAGTACCTATATGTACATGTACATACATACAACATTTGTAAAAAGAAACTCAAATAAGAAACAGTACTTAAATTACTTTATAATGTTGAAGCTTAATGAAACTCATGACTTCTGGTCATGACTGGGAGAAGTCACGACAACCAGATTTTCACCCAACAATGGAAAAAAATCAGCTTAAAAATGGCGACCAGAAGTAGCATATTTCAATCTGTGTCATTTAATGACATGTAGTATTGCACACTGAGATGTCATTCACTCAAACGTTCAGGTGACGTCCTGAATATGCTTGAAGCCTGGAGAAATGCCATAATGAAGGAAGTCTTTGGGAGTTTTACTGAGAGACATACTTTGGGGTAGTGATTCAGATGTGGAGGATAGTTGTTCCTCTTGGAGAAAATCATCTTCACCCTGGGAAATAAAAGCATCAACACATTTCTACAATTGAATCGTGACAATCACCTGAGTATGATACATGCCATAATAATCAGCTTGTTGATTGTGGGCAATACTTGGCAGAAGAAGAAGAAGCAGCAACTTGAACTCAGATTACAAAGGACATCTTAATGTTACTAATAAAATCCTCATTTTCCTCTTTTAACAAACATCTCCCCAGTCCTTGACTTTGTCAATATGTCCTTGTATCAGATGCCTAACCTCTTTGTTAAGTGTGAGCTTTCAATATCATCTAGACAATCGTGTGTTAAGATGATATTTCATAAATTAAACATATTTTCATTCAATATTCATTTAGCCTAAACCACACGATACATATATAAATTTCATAATTTTAGCTGAGGGTTCAAAATCTTGCTTATCAGCAGTAAATGACATGCTTTGAAATAGATTAAATCTTAACATTATATTAGATAAAGTAACTTAAAACATGATTTGCATGTATTTCCCTGATGTAAGTAGATAACAGTGATTTATATTCACTTGTACTTCATTGTCTTTGAACATTTTTCCTGGAGAATTTCAGAAATATGGCAGGTAGCCTATATTAAAAATGAACTACAGCACTAAGATCAACTCAATACGTACACCTATATACATATCTACAATTTTCTCAAAGTCCAAAAAAAATTGTTATAAGTGTTAAGAGCTTCCTTAAAAGGAGAAAACTTTTCTTTTCTGAAAAGTGATTATGGGTACATGATAAAAAGTTTACAGATGATGTGCACTCAGATAAAATATAACCTGAATAACCCGTGCGACACTAAAACCAGATGTTTACAATTGTAAGAGTACTCCATCAAATTAATGGTATAGGTCAGTCAGGTACATGTACCACACAGATTTTCATCAATCTAAACACAATGCTATGGATTCTAAAGCCAATATTTCCTGAATACCAAAGGTTATGTTTCTGTTGTACAAAGAACAGTGTTTACATAATTTTGTCAAAACTACTGGAATCCTTATAAGTTTGTTAGATATATGCTGACTTACATCTGAGAGTTCTTGATCCTCTTCTATAGAACCCTTATACTCTCTGTACAGAGGAATGATGAAGCGACCTGACCTACAATCACAGAAAATCATATATAAAATCATACACAAACTCATCTTAAAAGTAAAATTATCAAGGAGATCAGTTAAAAATAAAGGAATCTTTATCTTATATAAGATTGAAAGATATATACATATATATACATTAAAAGAAAATAATTTTCAATTATTTCTTGTCTTTAAACTTTGATTTTATTGTACCCTGCTTTTGAAAGGGCAGGGAAATTTAAGCTCATTTGTCTGTCTGTCCATCCGTCTGTTTGTCTGTCAGTCACAAAAACTTCAATCTTGGTCATAACTTTTGAATGAGACAAGATAAGGCTTTCATACTTCACAAGTGCATTACCTGTAACAAGACCTTATTTTTTTACCTTTTGAGTTTGACATACTTTTCAAAACTTTTAACTTTGGTGTTAACTTTTGAATGAGAGAAGATAGGGCTTTTATGTTTCACATGTGCAGTACCCATGACCAAACTTTTCAAGTATATTTTGATTTTTGACCTTTGACCTATTTTGCAAAAATTTTAACTAATAATTTGAGAGAAGATAGGATTCTCATATTTCACATGTGCATTACCTAGGAGAAGACCTTTTGGAATACACTGTGATTTTGACCTCATGACCTTGCCCTT